CCCCCCCCCCCCCCCCCCCAGTTGGTGGGCATTGCTCTTCATAGCAGTTTTACGTAGAGCTGTAAGAGAGATCAGTCACTTGACATCTGCAGAAGCATCTGTCTGCATAATGCCACAGTGAAGTTTTCTAAAGCATTTCTCATGCAGGGTCCTTATATACATGGGTTTAGCCGTCTTTTGAAAGAGCATTAAGCCAGTGCTGCTCAGAAGACTGATTCCTTCCCCAGAAGACTGGGGAAGAGATCTAGAAAGAGAGTTGGATAAACTGGTTCTAGCACTATGGGGTACATTACAGGTTTTTCACTTCTTTGGCTAATGACGAGTTTCATATGGCCATACTATTTATTTATTAATTCAACTTGTGTGCTGCTGCAGTTCCAGAGACTCTGACTGGCTTTTTGCTGTTTTTCTTATTCTGGTGGGGAGCAATACAATTTTGCCTACTCCATTTTGGCTTTGCAGCCATCCATAGACTCTATCAGTGATGATGGCCATTCTCCCCTAGCCCATTTGGCCCACCTTTACTTTTATTTTTCTCATGTGGGAAAAGGGTTTATAAAATACATTCTTCTTAAACATCAGGTTAGTGTGACAGTTTATTTATCACTTCTCTGCAAAGTGAAATTGAACAAGTACTTGGCGCAATCAGAGTTTAGCAGCAAAGTGGTAGAATTCTCACTTCTGTTGCTAACAGGAGCCAGGAGAGCAGAAGAACCTTGTTGCCAGTCTTCCAGCTGAAATGTGACTATTACAGCAATAGAAAACCTAAATAGTTTAAGGAGTCTGAAAGTGCTAGACTGAAAAAGTAAAATCCAAACCAAGAGTGTGGGGTTTTTCTTTGCCTCACTGCAAGAATGATTTTGCCACTTCTCCATTAAAAAAAAAATCTTTCTTCAGTCATGTAGATTCATCTCTAGGGCTATAAAGGGGTTATTTCAATGTCAAATTGAGTAAAAGATGCAGATTTTTTTTTTTTTTGGTCTACTACTTACTTTGATAGCCAGGTATACCCGGATAATGCATGTTCAGTGAAGGGTACCCCCCCCCCCCCTAAGCCAATGCTTCCACTGTCAAACTGCTTTTACCATTAGGAACTTTTTCCTAATGCTTACCTAGAATCTGCCTTCCTGTGCCTCACGATGATTATTCTTGCCCTACAGTCCGTGAAGATTGAGAATAAGTCTTAGCTTTCTTCTTTGTGGTGCCCCTTTTCTCAATCTCTTCTTTCAGGAGTTCCTTTCCAGGCTCTCGGCCAATACCTGTTCCATTTTCTCTGAAGCCTTCTTCAAGTGTGGTGCCCAGAAGGTCTGACCAATGCAGAATAAAAGGTTTCTTCCCATAATATACCAAGAGCGGTATATTTCAGAGCTGAACCCTAAATGTGGAAAGAAGCTCTTGAAAGATAGGAATAGGGGGTGGGGGAAACTCACAGGACATAATGCTGTTCCTGGTGGCACTGGCATTACCTTGCCCAGAGCAATTGTACAGGAGGTGAATGTATGTTCAACTTACAGGGACATGCTTTTTGTACAAAAAAATACACCATCCAATACTCAAATTAAGTTCAACATTAATTGCGTGAATATAGCTATTAAGGGAATATGACGCGAAAGCCTGAGCAATATCGGGACTTTAGGAAAGAAAGTTTACACTTTTCCAGAAGTGTGATTTATAGTTCAAGGTCCATGCCTTTTTACAATAATGGAGGCTTTACTTGACATGCAAAGAACAATTTAGAAAAGAGATTGGTCAGGCTATGCCCAGCTTCTGTTTATGATACTATGACTACAACTATGACTATAATAATGGTAGTACAAAAATACAGGTATATTAATTAAACTCACATAATTCTCATCTAGTTTGGCCCCTTGTATACTAAGTGAAATAGGCAGTACCCCTTTTTCAGAAGAGTAAATAACATGACCGCTACTTGGGTTTGGAAATAAGAGGTACTTCCCTGCTGCCACAGCTTTAGATCAGGGACCACCTTACAGATATCCATAGAGAAAATCAACCTTGAATAATTAAATATATAGCCAGGTATACCCAGATAATATATAATCTTTCTTTTTACTCCTAAGCTGTTTGTTGTTCTTCTATTGGTGCTTTCATTAAAAGTGATAAAAAGTTATTTATAAGTAGGCCCCATTTCCTTTAAAGGGAAGCAAATCTTTTCTACAGCATGGATTTCTTTTTTAACCAAAGGACAGTCTCGTTAGAGTGTTAGGCTATTACAGTTTTAGACAGAACTCCAGTTTAAATTTTAGACATAAGCCCAAAGTTTCAAGAGGATTTGAATCACAGATACACTCAAAAGTTTTGGAAAAAGTTTATTTCTTCTCTTCTGTCGCTTCTAGGTATGGTGCAAGAAGATTATCACAGCCAAAATCCATATCACAATGCTGTCCATGCTGCTGATGTCACACAAGCTATGCACTGCTACTTAAAAGAGCCCAAGGTAACCACACAAGTTTATCTGAGAATTTTCAGATAACATTTTCATAGACCACACAGTAATGAATTCATTTTATTGAGAAAACAAAAGTGTCTCACAACTGTACTTGTATCAGTGAAACTTCCAATGCTCATTCCACTAGAGGTATGGAACATGAAGAACGAAAAGTTCAACCAATCTTAAAAATAGCACTAATCCAACAATGCAGTGTGGCATTCCTGGGGGGATCATGTTCTCCAAGAGACAGCCCAGTCGATCAATGTTTTGAAAAATTGTCCAACGTCTTGTGAGATTGTAAAATATCACAACATTTTATAAATCTCTTAGGAGCAGGCCAAAATTGCACAAGAAGTTATATGCTATTGCAAAAATACATGACATTCATACAAAATGTTGACATAATGAACTCTCATGCAAAAATACCAAAGTCTTAGAAGATCTTTTGTGAGAATGTCAAAATATCCTGAGATCTCATGAAAAATCTTATATGTTCTCACCAAAGTTGTAGAGATGTTAATGGTCTGGTGCAGATCTTGTGGGATTTAGGCAATTCTAAACATTTTTTGGCTCAAAGTAGATTGAGAGAAAGGGTGTTATAGGCCAGAAAAACTTGCCAATGCTTGGTCTGGGACCCTTTCGACAGTGTTTTGAAAACTTGAAACTAACCAGCATTTCCTGATTTCAGATAAATGAAGAAGTCTGATTTGTTTACAGTTGGAAGTAGATGCTTCCAGATTCTTTCTCACAGAAATGCCAAGAGAAACAAAAGGGAAATGGAAAGCCTACAAGCCTAAAATTTATGCCAGCTCATAACCATAATGCAGAGTTTAACATTACAGTCAAACTGGGGCATTAAAGCAGTAGATGAATAACGCCAATCCACATTTGCTGAAGAAGCAAGTTATCGGAGGAAGACATTTAATATGAAGAGTTAATAGGCTTAAGAATAGGGAGAGATGCTTAAGAGTTCTTTGTACCCAGTTCACTCCTGCAAATGCACTTCTGTTGAGATTTTTTTCACTTACCTGGAGTTCAACACTGCTGGGAGAGAAACTTTAAAAACAATTAACAGAGAAGACCTGCAAGGGAAAAATATCAGTCTTGCCCCCACTGATTCTCATTTTAAAATATATTACTCTCCATGGCCATCTCCCATTGCTGTTAGCATAAGTATTGATAAACACAATCCCCCTAACATATTTGTTAAATTACTAATACTGTATTCTTTATCTGAGATATCAGTTGTTAAATGAAGTATCTGAAACATTCAAATCTTGTTATACTATACAGTGGCTTGCAACTTAGAGACAATCTTTAGTCCTTTCCCTGGTATCTGAAAGATAACACAATCCACAGGTCAACAACATAAAGTGATTCTAGATGAATCCCAGTGGGAATAAAATAGAAAAGGGAAAAATATTTTTTGCATTTATTCTCAACAGAAATTTAAAAAGCTATTTTTTTCCACAAATTATTCAATTCCCCACACTCCCTTACTTTCACATCTGTCCTGAATACATATCTGCTTTATTTATGCACATACTACAAATTCAGCACTTTTTCCATTTGTTCATCATCTGCAATTTTGTTAGAAATGAATATGATGCAACAACAAAAATCATAAATCAAAGTGCTACTTTCTAGCTCCAAAAAACAAATTGAACTGTATAGAGTATTTGCCAGAATTAAAATAGGAATGTTTGTTACCCAAAGTTACACGCTGTAACTGGTCTGAGAATCTGATTTATTTACAGGCAGTCCCTGGGTTAAGAACAAGATCCATCCCTAAGTCTGTCTTTAATTTGAATTTGTATGTAAGTCAGAACTCATACTTATGAACGGGCTGCCTATTACTAAAAATGGCAGACAGTGTTCTCCTTCTTTGAGCTGACGAACCGCTGAAGCCGCACAATGTTTTCAGGAACTGCTGAAAACAGCTAAAAACAGGCTGTACACTAAAAATGCATGGCTTCAACAGTTCATGAAAACATTGCGTGGCTTCAGTGGTTCATCGGCTCGAGGAAGGAGAATGCCATCCACCATTTTTAGTAATAGGCAGCCCGTTCCTAAGTATGAGTTGTCCATAAGTTGGGCATTCCTAACTCAGGAACTGCCTGTATTTGCTTATTTATTTGAATGTATTAGCCGCCCAATTCCAATGGATTCTGGGCAGCATACAAAACTAGAGAAAACATAAAAAAACAGATAAAAACATCAAATCAGACAGACAGCCCGTAAAATAATCTTATGAACAGCAAAATCAAACAAAACAACACAGGGGCCCTAGACAAATAATAAACCAACCCCAGGCCTGGGACTAAGTCCAGAGAGCTTTTCAGAGCTTTCCAGAAGTCTAGGAGAGAGGGTGCGGTCCTTATCTCAGGGGGATGCTGTTCCAGAGGGTGGGGGCCACAACAGAGAAGGCATGCTTTTGTTTTCAGGGGAAGAGAAGCCAGTGGTCTTCTTAGGAAGCCCAAAATTGTTTTTTGAGTTGGGCTAGGACTCAGTACTCCAGAGGTGTCCACAGGAGGAACGGGGGGGGGGAGGGGGAGAGGAAGGGATAAAAAGAGTCAGGATGGCAAATGTGACTACATGATTGAAGCATCATGTATAATGCACCAAAAAAGGCAAGGATTTGATAACGTGGTTACATCCAGACCTTTCTGATGGCCTCTGCAGAGCCCTTTAATTGTTCACTTGTTTTGTGCACCATTATGTCTGTAATAGTCGCAGCATCAAAGTACCTGATAAAATTAGATTGGTACTATTCATATCTGTGCCAGGCTCTGGCAGCATGCTTTCAAAAAAAGATACTGATAACTTTCATATCCCTATTTAATAGCTGCTCTGAAAAGTGGCATCTCCCTTATTTTGTCCAAATAATTTGGTATTGCTAAAACTGAGCAGCTGAGTAATAGGGAGTGGTGGTATAAACTGGAAAGCATTTTAGCTTCCTGGGTCTCCTGAAAAATAGGTTTACAAGTGGGCCGTAATGGTTGCTTGGCTTTGGATTAACGTGATATGTGAATTCAGCCATTGTGCTTTATAAATTATGGCCACTATGGCTTGTTCAACCAACTAGAGTGGAAACAAACCATAGCTTAGTGTGTTGTGGGAACCAGTAGTTGAAAAGCCAACGTTAATACTTAACATTGTGTGTGAACTAGGTTCAATATGTTATTCAACAAAACTTGAATAAAGTTTAGCACAGCGCATGAGACTAGTTACAATGTACTGTAACTGCATATTATAAAAATACATATCTTCAGTCACCCTATATTCTTTAACTCTGAACCCCTTTTTACATGCTACAGCTTGCTAACTTCCTCACCCCTCTGGATCTTATGCTTGGATTACTGGCTGCTGCAGCCCATGACGTAGATCATCCAGGAGTCAACCAGCCATTTTTGATAAAAACTAAACATCATCTTGCCAGTTTATACCAGGTGGGAATAACTCTTGGCATGTAGTAAATTATTGCTTTTTTAAAAATTACCTTTCTTATGACTGTTGCCAGTCCCTTCTTTTCGCCATGGCCACCTCAACTTTTCAATTATTCCAGAGCTATTTTCAAGTTATAGACAAGAGGCGTGGGAAGCAGTCATCTACACCTGCAGAAACAATTCAGATAACTCATTTACTCCCTGTATATAGGCACGGTGCTTGTAGGAAACAGAGCTTTCTAAAATTTTACTTTTATTCATACTTTTATGAGATGAAGCAGCTTTATATTTCTACTGGGATGTGAAAAAAAAAGTGCAGTATATGATAAGGGGGAAGATAGTGCTTCACAAAAAAAGTTAATAGCTGCAAAGATAGGCTTGAAGAATTCCAGTGCTATACATATGTACTCCTCTGTCTCAGTGCTATGTACTGTGAACTAAGAGAAATTGCACAAATTTGCTTAATGACATAGTTTCTTTTGAGTTGTAGAGTTCAGACTTTCTGTTCAAAATTTTCAGTTGTGCGGACTCAGAAATTAAATTTAGAGGCAGACACAGAGTACTGAATACAACCATGTCTTGGAACAAACACGTTTATTTGCATAAAAAGGAAGAATCGGGAAGAAAAATAATTTGGAAATGATGCCAAAGATTACATGACTTCTCTGCAAAGCCAAATGTTGCAGTTTGAAATATTTTTGAGACTTAAGGCAACTCTTCCAAGGTGGTCTTTAAAAAGCAGCGTCAGAGGTTGTGTTCAGTAAGAAGTATTAGCTTTATAAGTTTCTAACCTTGGTCAAAGAATAATAGTAGCACAGGTGATTATTTATGATTTATTAGCTTTTTAACAGTTCCCCAAATGTCCTCCAGATTCTGAATAGAAATTATGAGAGAAATAATCCTACACTTGTTATGTGGCTGGCATAGAATCTTGCCAGACATAAATCTCTGTTGTCCATCATTTAGTAATGCATTTATTTACTGAATTTCTAGACAATCTTTCCTCCAAGCATTTCTTCCTCCTGCCCCATAAATACATGTTTGTCTTCACAACAACTCATGAAGTAGGCTTACACAATGAAACAATGACTGCTACACTTATTGAGGGATCTCAGTGGTTGGGATTTGAATCTGGATATCCCTAAGTCCAGTGTGACACTCCAATCACACTGGCATATGACACTGATGGAATTTACTTGCCTTTGAGCTGTAAAATGCTCATGTCTAAGGAACTCAATCAATAGGTGTGAATGGGTTATAACAGAATCCTGTTTTTGTAATTAACTCATTACAAAATGAGAGAAGAGGAGCTGCATACCCTTTTTTAGAAAACTTTACTCCCCTCTTGTTTTTCCTTCCCTTCTCAGAGATGTCAGCTATATAACAATCCAGACTGTCCTTCTCCCCAAAGATAAAGGAACAGACAGGGCCAGGAGTACCAAGGCTAGTACAGAATGATGCTGAGATTATCTTGTGACAAGCTCATCTTTCTCTGTCAGTTTTGACAAGCCGCAGCCAAATCCTAGCCATACAGCTGGGATGATCTAAGGCCTGTCTGCAAAATCTTTGAAATGTCAGGGCTTCTGGGGAGAATTAAACAAAAGGGACAGAAGAACTGTGAATAAAGGCAGACTACTGTTACAACCTCATTGCCTTACGTAACCCTGTGAAACCCTGGATGAAATTCATACTTAGTCCTATTTAAAATACACCTATTATTTTATTAAAATCACATCCATTTCAGTGGGTCTACTGAAAGTAGGACTAAGTCTCAGTTCTGTCTAGTATACCAATTTCACTGATTTACTTTATTTATTTAACTTATATCACGCCTTTCCTATACAATAAAACACGCAAGGTAGCCAACCAGGTAAAAAAAAAAAAAGTTTTTTAAAAGATGATAAAACAAGATTAAAACATTAAGATACACAGATTCAAAACAACGGATAATTTCACAAATTATAAACAGTTGTATGCAGTGCTTCGTATATATGGACTGCCAAGTAGCTTCAATAAGATAAACCTGCAATCTAATAAACCATTGATTTAAAACAAGAGGCAGATAGAGCTAGAAAAACTATTACCCACGCAGAGACTTTATTACTATTCAGAATGCCTTGGCAAATGAACCAAGTCTTAACCTGGAATCAAAAGGATTGTAATGTTCATGTGCCATGTTCCAAAATCATGATATCCGAACAGAAAGGCCTTCTCCTTGCAGAGCAAAACAACTCCCTTAAAGAAGGTGCTTGGAAAAAGGCCTCCTCCTGCAGAAGATCTTAGGGACCAGACACGCCATTGTGAGAAGCATAAAGCCTGCCGTGCCAGAGAGCTTAAGAAATATATTTGCCAAATTTCTTCAGAGTCCCAGTGTCTGCCTAGTAATGTATTTTATCACATGCTACCTTTCCCTATCCCTGAAGAGGAAAGAAGGTGGTAGAGGAAGTGGAGAGGTTCTTAATGGGCAAGCTAATGGTCTCAGCAGAAGACCGATGCTCCTTACTCTTATTCTCCATCCCTCCCTCTATTCATCTATTTATCTATAAAGGGTATTACTGCCTGCATGCTTTATTCAAATTTTCTTTGCAGCAAAAGTGCTCCGTATAGTACAGTTTGGAACCATATTTGAGACATTTGTTACAAACAGGCTACACTCTCTAGATGTACTGTATATAATAGTTATTGGGAGTAAGAATGATTTTAGTGTGTTTTGGAAGAATATATTGGGTTTATTTCTGTTAAGTACTTATAGCCTGCTCACTATTGAGAGGATACAGTATGTCTGTACAATTATATGTCAATTTGTTCAAATAATATCATTAAATATTTTTAAAAAAGAATAGCAACTCATTTAGCTCCACCACATACATAAGAAGTAGCAGCTGCTTTAATTAAAACGATCCCCAAACTGCCTAACTGATTTTTATATAAAGGTGCCATTTTAATCATATAGTCTCCTAAGGGCCCCTTAACCTGCATAAGCTACAATTGTTTTTTCACATTATGGCATCATACGCATTTAATCTACTGATACACTCTGATGTCTGAGAAAATGCTGGGTTCAGATAATAAAATGGCACTGAGTAAGTGATACTCTGGGTGCCACTGGCCACGGAAGCAAAGAGTTAAGTGTGGGATTCAGAGTTGTGCAAGCAGTCTCCCACCAAGGAACTCTCTTCTCCTCTCATCTGCTCCAGAGGATATAAAGTTAGACACATGGAATAAAGAGTCATGGGAGGAGGTATTGTACTGATGGAAGTTTTGTCAATGGAAAGGCACTAATTGGATCTTACTTAACATGTTATTTGTTTTATGCATATTGAAGCTAGCTTCCTCCTGGGAATAGAATGTTCCAAATATTATAATTTACCTCCCAAAGACAGAGGTCCGATCCAAACCCCTAAGGCCATATGGGCAGCCCAGAAGCTTTCAGTCATGATGACAGGGATCTAGGATCACTGTTCCCCTGCATTATCTTGTGCAGACTCTGCCTCCAGCTTTCACAAGACATTGAAAATGGAAACATGAACTCCTGCATGCCTTGCCTTAATATTGCAAACACGCCACCAACAGTCATAGGTTTGGCAGCAAGACAAGCAGACTGGATTAACGTATGCGCAGAAGCACTGCATTAAGTACTTGAGAGCCTGTAATTGGGAATGCTAAGGGGGCGGGGGGAGGGGGAGACCCTGATCTATCCCAAACTACTGGTGGACAAACTTCTAGGCTTCTTTGTATGCGCAGCCCTACTTGGGGTGGGGGATTTTGCACGCAGGTGCTATGTGAGTCATCTAGTTAAAGGTGTGAATCAGTGCCTGTTTATGCATTTCTGGACACCCCATTTGATCAGGGTAAGAGGTGTGCTTTTTTTTCTCCCTTTTCCAGAATGTCTCTGTATTAGAAAACCATCACTGGAGATCTACGATAGGCATGCTTCGAGAATCAAGGCTACTTGCACATCTGCCAAAAGAAGAGAGGTGAGCATCATAATCTGGGAAATGGGCTGATCTGATGTGGATTCCCAGTACTTTTTGAATACAACGTTTTTACAGCGTGCTACATAGGATGAACAGGTGTGGAAGTGAGTGGCTGAGTTTGTTTGGGTTCTGCTTGGCCTGATATGTGAGTCCAGCCATTTATTCATCTACCTATCTATTCACTTGCCCTAGGGCACTATAAAAATTTCAGATTCAAAATTTTCCAAAAGATCCACATTTGTAAATATAGTGTGGTTTATAATCCCCATGTGATCCATGTGGATGTGGTATGTATGTTGATGCATGCACATGTGTGTATGTATACATGCATGCTTCCCAGTCACACTTGTCTGGACAAAAAAATTAAATTACAACTTGGAAACTGCCCAATTTGACTGATATTACTCATTCATTCTAAGGCAGTCCCTGTACCAATCTTAAACACTTCCCTTCTCCAAGGAAGCCACATTCAAAATCTCTGTGCAGCAATAATTGTGAGTTCTCATGGACTATCAGCACATAATTAAGGCACATGTATGGAATACTGTTCTGCATCACTCCAGAGTGCTTGCTTCCTCATTCAAATTGGAAGAAACTATAGGAGGACTCTGGTGAGATTTACACGAGTGTTATGAGAAATAGGATTGTGGAGACAGATGTAGCTGTTTTAATGAGCTGAGGGAAGGTGCTACATTCACTTTCTGAAGCATCCCTCCAACTCACCTCCAAAGCATTGCACAGCCCTAATCATAAATCAGATGAAATGGAACTGTTCAGGGATGTCCACACGAGGGGTCAATGACATCAAAATGATGGGTACAACCAGGCAATTGAAGCCCCACCCCTTTTAAATAGGTGTCTACTGCATCACAGATACGCAAAAATGGGCAGGGTTTCCATCACCCCAGTCATGCCCATCATTTTGATGTTGTTCCTTCCAGTGGACACCCCTGTGGCCACTTAATAAGAGGAAGCACTACTGTAACAACACAAGATGAGGAAAATAACATCTGTTAATAATAGCTTCTTTTATTTTGCATGGTAGTCATGATATTGAACAACAACTCGGTTCCCTGATCTTGGCAACAGATATCAACAGGCAGAACGAATTTTTGACCCAGCTGAAAGCTCATCTAAAAAATCAGGATTTGAAATTAGAGGATGCTTCAGACAGGCATTTTATGCTCCAGGTAACTGTTGAAGGTTCTCTGATCTTTCTATTTAAAAATAGATATTTTCTCTGGTGGCCCAGAGGAGAGGAGGAATGAAGCAAAGAGCCAATGTTACAAAGTTTCTGTGCTGGGATTATTCTGTAGTATTCATTGAATTGCTCACTTTCATCCAATTTACACATTATGCTATTAGGTGAAAATAGTACAAGAATATACAAAGGCCCTGTTGGTCAAGCCAAGCATTTGATTTTTACAGTGACTAAGAAGATGCCTCTGAGGTGTTCAGACAGTATGCTGCTCTCAACCCTGGAGCAATATTAGTCTTTAAAAACTTATAGTCCTTGATAGACTATTCTCCATAAATGTATCCAATTGTCATCCAAATCCTGTGTGTCCTATTGCCATCCTAATTTACTGTATGATCATTAATACAGCTTGTGGTTATGAATTCTACAGGTTAATGATGGATAGGAAAATGCATTCTTATATTCCAAAACCTCATCCCAGTCAGCTTTATTGACTGATCCCTGGTCTTACTATTTTATAGATGAGAGAAAAATTTCTCCCTGCCCACTTTCTCCATGCTATCCATAATTTTGATACACTTGATATATCTCATCTCAGTTGCCTTTCACATCATATGGTTGCAGCAAACTGAATAAAGACAGCTTGCGAACATGTGCTATATGTATGTCATCATGGTTAACTGGGCAGGAGAGATCCCTGAGGCTCTGAATTAGAGATAGGACATGTCCTCCCCACCTACTTGAGTAATTCAGATAACTCAATGCTTTATTCTCACAGTGATGGTAGTCCTCACTTAATTAACACAATTCGGACAGACAACTCCACCACTAAGCAACATGGTCATTAAGCAAGACATCATGTGACCATAATGGGCTTATGACCTCAATCCTGCTGTGGTTGTTAAGCAAATCACCCACAGTCATTAAGCAAGACATCATGTGACCATGAGTTGTGATTTTATTGCTGACTTCTCCATTAATTCTGCTTGTCAGAAGTCGGCTCTGAAACACACACATGATCACATGACCATGGGACACTGCAATGGTCGTAAATGCCTGCCAGTTGCGAAGTGCATGAATCTTGACTGAGGGGGTGCTGCAACAGTCTTAAGCATGAGGACTAGTCATAAAGTTATTTTTTAAGTGCGGTCGTAACTTTGAACGGTCGCTAAATGAGGTGGTTGGTAAGCAAGGGCTACCTGTAATGTGCAAATAAAATTAAAGCACTTCTAAAAGTCCCTTCACCACTCTACCACTGAAGCATAAGGAATAGTGAAGGAAAGAAAGGAATAAGAAGTTATTCTGATTTGTATTTTGCCCATGCACATAATTGATCACCAAGAACAAAAAAAAAGATGTACATGTCTTTCTTCTTCATTTTATAGTACTTACTTTTTGAATCATAAGCCCCCCGAGTCATTTGGGAATTGGGCAGCCTCTAAATCCAATAAAATGACTCAACCAACCAACCCCGAGGGGGTTCTCTCAGTTGTCAATCCATTAAGCTCCTTTTTGGCTTTTGAGTCTTCTCATTTTTACTTCTTTATCCCATGTTCAATTTTCCAGTTTTTAGGATACATCCAGTATGCTATTTTGCATTATAATTTGCTTTTTGGAGGATTGGTTGCTGTCCTTGTCTAGCAAGTTGAGAAATTTCCATAGCACAGGAACCCAGCTCTGCAGGAATCAAATTGTGCTGATGAGAAAGTTTAATCCTCCTGTTTCATTCACAGATGTGAGATGCTCACGGAATGGTTTCCAGCTGCTAAAATTCAAAACAACTTACCACCTGTTATTCCAGCAAAGTGGAACAACATGGCCCCTGATATCTGCATGGCCCCAACCCTGTTGAGCTTTCTCAAAACTGTAAAAACTTGCTTTTTCCATCAGACCAGAGGGGTTGGATGGAGGGTTTTGCTGTCCAGTGGTAGTTTGGTGGTGAATTTGTTTGGATTGTTTTCTTCCTGATGTGCGCATGGACTCCACTGGTTTTTAACTGTTATTTACCTGATGTTTTAACCCTATGGTATAAATGGCCTAGAGTCACACGGTAATTGAGGTGGAAAACAAGTGAAAAACAAATAAATAAATGCTATTTACAGCAGGCAATAGACATGGAGAATATATACTATATATAGCTCAGGGTTGAACTGATGGATTCTTTGTATTCTCTGAAATTGCTTTTCTTCTTGCAGATATTTTATTGCCAGGTTAGATAGCATCATCCATGCAGTGAAATGTCTGCAAGAAGACAAGCAAGCTTAGGGAACACCAGGGACCCAACAGAGCTGGAGTCACTGGGATGGAATGTGTAACAAACCCTGGAAAGCAATGGAGGAAACAGGACCATTGCAAAAGAGACACCTCAGCCCAGAGGAGGGGGGAAATTGCATGCTTCTGTAGGTGATGACTCACTTTGGGCTGTGTTACCACCAACAGGTGTCATGCAGCCATGGCCATGATGACCTGCATCAGTTATGTTTGGCCCTTAAGGCCACAGATATTCATCATCCCTACTTCAGCTTCCTAGAAATAGAGGCAGGATAATAACACGACCCTTAGAAAGTTAATTATTAAATTATGAGTCTGTTATGAGTAATGGCTATACTCTACCCTTGAACTTCCTTTTGTTCTGCTGTTTCATTTTCAGTGCTGTTATGAGATGAGAAAGATTTTATTGGAAATCATTTCACCCAGTAGAATAGAGCAGAGTTGGGTGTTTCAGGAGTAACGAAGAGCTGGATTAAAGTCATATGAAAATATCTGCCTTCAATTACCCATTGCAGTTTTAAAGTACCAACTAATATCGCAGTAATGGGGTTCTCTCCCTCCCTCTCCCCCCCCCCTCTCTCCCCCCTCCCTCTCTCTCTCTCTCTCTCTCTCTCAGTATTCAGGCCATACTTCAGATTTTCCCCTGGATGTGTGCTCAGCAGCCTGAGAGTATTTCAGGGTTATAGGCAGAAAAATCTATCCAGTAATCAGTAAACAAAAATTCCATTACTTTCCACAATGAGTTTACAGTTGTTGAGTTACTCCTTTTCATGTCAACCAATGGAGAGATTTTTTTTGTTTGCTGATAGGAATTTAGTATACAGAGTATACTAAAAGTCGGGCCCCATAGATCATTTATTATATAAATTACATTAAATGTTCGAATTGGTTGCCATTTCCTTCTAAATGCTTCCTTATTTGTTTGACCCATGACCTTTGAACATTCCTAAGTACAGTAACATTTTCTCTGAAAAACAAATTAATACCAGGAGGAGCTGAGACAACCTCTTAAGTCTTCTGTTAACTATCTCTGTCCTTCTGTTAACTGTTAGGAGCTGTATGGATAAAATCTGTTTGGCTATATGGATTTTGTTTAATGCAACAATTAATTTATTTAGTTTTGTTTCAGGATGGCCTTGTTTATTGTATCCTTAAAATTCTTCTTACTTAAGGAGCAAAACAGTATATCAGTCACTTAATTACTGGTCTTGATACACTGGCTGGGGAATTCTGGGAGCTGAAGTCCAGACATCTCAAAGTTGCCAAGGTTGAGAAATACTGATCTAAGCTAATGCTCCCTTTGCATGAAAGTGTCTTTTGAAGAAGTGGGAGGAACTGAGTCCATGCTTTGAGCTGGCAAAGATGAAACAAAGCAAAAGAAAACTGCCGAGAAATGTGGCATCACCACAAGCATATTACATCTATATTCCCTCTGGAGGAGCCAGTGCCATTTGCAAGGGAATAATAAACCAGTGCTAAGATAAAACCATCACAGTAAAACTTAGCAGTCCTTAAAATAGTACATACACACATTAAAACATAGTTCATTTTAAGACAGAATAGCAACATGACAGGCAATCTAAAAGATATTCTGGTCCTGAACTCATTGTCACGCTGGAAATGGCAGGTGTGTCTTCACTTGTTGGCTAAAAAGAAGACAGGGTGACAGGCAAACAGCCTTCCTTCAGGAATTCCCTCCTAACTTCAGTTTAGACAATTGTGGAGTTGGGGTGCTGCCACTGAGAAGGCCAACTTCTGGCCACTGTATTGTGAGCTGAACCACCCTGTGGGACCTGAGCAAGCCTTCCCAGCTGATCTTGTGGCATAGTTTAATGTCAACATGTATGAAAATGTACATGCAGCCCTTTCAGGACCACTATTATACCGTTTCGTTTTGCTGCTCTTCTGAACCTTCTGCATCATTGCAGCTTTCAGATTATTTTCAATATAGCCCCATGTACTGTAGAATACATTGCAATAATGAGGTTACTAGAGCATGCAAGATTGAAGTTAGGCTATCTCAATTTTGGTATGCTTAAGGGGCTGTACATTCTCAGTAATCTGTTGCGTTAAAATTTGGGATTTTTGTGTTAAAATGTGGGAAAACATTTTACTTGTGAAATGTCTGCTCAGCATCTGGCCATCTCTACCAGTAGGCAGGATCCTCTCAGAAAGCTATTTTGGGATGTAATGAAAAGACCAGACATCATTAATAGTTTAATTTATTTTTGTTGTGCCTTTACTCCAGGGAGAGAGGTGCAGGATTTTCTCCCTAACGTTCCATCTTTCTGTGGGATCAAAACGCAGGACACAAATGCAGAATAATCAAGGCTTCACTGCAGTGTTTATTGAGCAGTATGTACTGGAGGGGGACCCCACCAGAAGTTAGTGAGAGGCACTCCCCTACAGACAAAATGGATGTTCTGATATTTATACAGTTCTACAAGAAGGGGAAGGGAAAAAGAACGTATACACTCCAGGGAGAGAGGTGCAGGATTTTCTCCCTAACGTTCCATCTTTCTGTGGGATCAAAACGCAGGACACAAATGCAGAATAATCAAGGCTTCACTGCAGTGTTTATTGAGCAGTATGTACTGGAGGGGGACCCCACCAGAAGTTAGTGAGAGGCACTCCCCTACAGACAAAATGGATGTTCTGATATTTATACAGTTCTACAAGAAGGGGAAGGGAAAAAGAACGTATACATATCCGCATACGTATTCATATGATGATGCAGGCATACA